GCATTCGTAAATATGTTATTTGTTGTTAAAGTGACTTCAGTGGTGTTACCGTTTGGTAGCAACTGACGCCATCTTCAAATTTTATACTTGAATAGAGGGCTTTTTTTAAAAAACTTTCTAAATTTCTAAATACTTTTAAATCCTCAACGTTTCCAAAATGCATGCAGTATAAATTATTTCGAAGAAAATCACACATTTCGCTATATTATGAAGAAGAGGTCACATAATTCTCATGAAATGTTGAAATGGACGTGGATCATATATTTAATAGACACTATTAATTAAGTGACACGTACAATTTATTACGAATGAAAATGTCATGGCCTTTAAAATGTTTGCAATTAGAAATGTTTTGAAAACCGAAGGATACTCTTACGTCGCGTATAAAATTTAAAGAAGGCATCATGTGCAATCAAACGAGTACGCGTTTTTTTTTCAAAATATATTTTACTTTATAGAGTCGTCGAAAATCAATTAAAAATTTGCATGCTCTTTAAGCAGCCATTTTTTCCATAATATGCTACGCAGTTGCTCAGAAGGATGTACTTTCAAAAGCCATCATCCTGCGGTGACTGAAGTAGCCTGGGAGTAGCCTGCACGCTGATCACTGTTCGAATCGAAAAATAACGTTTCCAAATTTCGGTAGACATTTCATTAGCTACGGAATTCACTGTTAGTCACTAACTTAAAAAACTCTACCACTAAGTCAAATGTCACTTCTGCTGCTAGGAATGTTTTTCAATCTGAATTTTCATTTGGTTTAATGAGGTTTACCCCTTGAAGACTGCACTGTAGGCAGACAGCTAAGTACAATTTACACCGCGTAATGGGTTCTACTGCCATCCTCATTCTACCAGATTCTACGGCGGTTCGTTGTCCATCGTGCCCCAGGATGCCACCGCACCCACTCAAGCCTCCAAAACAATCGTCGTTCGAGCACGAAAAATGGTGGATATTTATTCGCAGCTGGATGAACAGCTAAAAATACAAAGGGGCGTGCTTCGCGGTCCAGCCGAGTCCTCGGTGGGTCCTGACAGCGCAGAAAGAGACCGTAGGCTGGCCAAGTTCAGAGCGGCCAAGAAGACGGCGCAGGCTGCAATGGGCGATAGGGAGAGTACTCATGAGGTTTGTTGGCGCGACAAAACATTTTGCTTTGCATAACTACCTGCTTATTTCGTATTAGTACGCATGTTTTGTTGTAATACGTTGGCGTCGGCTTGTCCCTCACCACAAAGGTACGACACAGTCCATCCACATATTATATTACATATCTTTTATTGC